GCCTGCCCTTCGAGTCAGATCCTCTAACATGGCGAGCCGCATGACTCGTCCGATGTCGGCCCGGCTTTGGGTCCCCGGCAGCACAGCTTTCCGGAGGTCCTGGTCCTCCTAAGCTCGTGCAGAATTTCAACACGAAACCGGCCAGGCCTTTCTTCACGCGTCTGAGGATGTTCCTTGGTTGCTGTTGACCCCCCTGCAAAAAGTTCAACTTTTTGGGGGGGTTAGTGGAAAGCACCTATATTTCCCAAAAAGTGAAAGTCTAAAGATCCAACCCAATAGCAGTCTAGGTTCGTAGGTCCTTTCTGAAAATATCAATCTCTGTAAACTCTTGGAAGCTGATCAGAGCACTGCGATTTTGGAAAATGGCAGCGACATGCCAAAGATTCAATTAATCAAACATGCACCCTTGCCTGCCAATCCAAGACATGCAGGCCAACCTTACCCAGCCATCCATATGCAAAAGGAAGCTGGTACCGGTCGTAGTCTATTTTAGTAGGGGAACCCTCCCCCAAAAAAAGTCAAAGGGCACCACTGGGGGACCTAGTGGATGCTCTTTTGCGTCTCACATCCAAAATATGCGGCCTTCTGCGATTCCTCCTGCACCCAAATGGTTGTGGCTGTTTGGATTGCCCCTTTTTGGCTCGGGATTCTGGAAATCGAAAAAGACTGTGCTTCTGAAATGTGGACAACATCCCTCGCCCGGGCAAGTTTCAGATTCAGAATGTTCTTGTAATAAGCGCAAACGCGACAGCGTGTACTTAAAGCAGCGCAGCACGAAATAGCTTTACACCAAACCCAAGCTCGCTCACAAACTGGGTCCATTTGTGACATCCTCGAAATGGCCCAACTGCTGGCTCAAGGGAAACACAATGAATTATCGGAAGTCCTCGACATGCACACACTTAGACGACAAACCAACAACCCAAAGAGACAGGATGGTCCATAAGAAAGAAAAACAGGTCATCAACGGGTGCTTCTGGATCCCCGGTGGGGGGGGCCCCGAATTCCATTTATCTAGTCTTCCCAAAAGAGAAACTTGATTTTCAGAAATGGATTTCCAGAGTTCGAAATCCCCCCTCCCCCAATTCCATTTTGAAGGGACCCCAAAACCAGCTAGACACCAACAAAATCCCAAAGCTTTGGACCGGATGGTCCACAAGAAAAGAACGGTGGCAATCCACGGGAGTTACTGGACCCATCTGGGTGATAGGTGCTTGGGGGGCTATTCCCACCATTTGAGGTGAATTTGGCCGTGTGAGGTGTGACAATTCACCCAGACTGGCCGACCAGCTCTCGTTCGACCGCACCTTAATGAGCTTCTCCACGTCCCCGGTGTTCTTCTCCGCGCCCGCGGCGAAGAGCCGCGCCACCTTTTTGCCGAGAGGGCTGGGGATCTCCGTGGGTTTTGGCTTTTGGTGGCCTCATTTCAACTTCCACTTGGTTTGGGCCCCGGGAAAAAGAAAAAAAACATATTTTTCCAGTAGTGATGCATTTCTTTTAAAACCAACAAGGGGAAACAAATACTCTTAAGCAAATGGAGGTCAAGGAATTGTTTTTTTTGTGAGGGCCCAAGATGCTCAGGGCCTCAGGGGGCAAACAGTCAGAAACCAAGAAGAACGGCCTTTGTTGGCTCCGATGTTTGCTTTTCTCGATTAGATATCTATTGAGAATCTATTGTGGAATTTCAGTCTGTTTGACTGTCCCCTGTTTGGGTTGGCTCGCGGAAAGCCGAAATTACATATGACTAAATAGATAATACAAAGATATTCATTACCCAAAGGGTCCAAGTACCTTCTAAGGAGGTACTTGGACCCCTTTTTACCCCCCAAAAGCCATTGTCATCAGGTACTTGGACCCTCTGGGCTATGAAAATAATGTTAAAGATGTTGACTGCCAGCCTTTATACCCAGAGTCTTTCTGTAGCTAACATTCCAATCTTTTGGAGCTCTTCTGAGTTCTTGACAATGAATGAATTCCTAACAGAGTCCTTGCAAGAAGGAAAGAAATAAGATATGACATGCTGTAAGATCTTGAAGAAATTCTACATTCAAAATACTCATGTTTCCTTTCTTATCTTCTAGAATCTCTGAGACTTGCACAGTCTCCACAGCTTGTTCCGCTGGTCACTTCTCTGTTACGAAGGTTGACCGGTAAGAAGGTGTCCAGGAAAACGCAAAGAGGCCACCCATATGCATACAAAAATTATATTGCTTTCAGGCTTTGGCCTGATTCAAGTGCATTTGACACGTCACCTATACAAGGGTTGTCTCAAATCGGGCTGCCCTTCGCCCTTTGCACTGCCTTAAGGCCCAAGGAACCAAACTGGCGACCGAGTGAGGCACGGGATGGGAAGACTGCTCTCTAGTTGACCTCGCCGATGCAAGGACCCCAAAGATCCCTAGAGGAATTCCCGCGGGGATTTCGACGAATGATTGTTATATGTGTATATAAACATATATCATATTGTAGACAGTCAACTACACACTGGTTTACCTCGTGATTCCAATAGTCAGGTAACCTCATTGTTCAAGCCACGGTTTCTTGCTGTCTTGCATCGTTGCTTGTCATCTTTTAACCTTCTATTCAAATCCTCGGCTGCTTTTGCATGCCACCGGGCTTCCTTCAATTTTCAGCTCGTTGCGCACCCTTGAGAAACAGACCGTCACCGATGCACAGCCCACATTTGCCAGAAACAAACTGGGCCGCTGAAAAAGCCCTTGAGCGTTTGCAACAATCGTGGGGAAGTGGAGAAAAACATTTTCAGAAGGGCGGTAGTCTTTCAGAAGCCTCCGATCCACTTCTCTAAGAGGGTATCAAAAAGTCTTGTCTCAAAATAGGACACCTCAAAATTTGGTTGTCTTAAGCTGGTTTCTTTTCAAACCAACCTAAAAGGAGCACAAAAACTATCCTCAAAAAAAAACGGAACCCCAACCGCGCCGGCAAACCGTCCAAAGCCGGCACGCGCCAGCGCAGCGGCCGTCTCATGCCAAGGCGCGATGGCACGCAGCTTGGCCTTTCTGACGGTGATCTCCTCCTGACTTGGCCAGGGGTAGGATCGCAAGACCTGGCGGATCGAGATCGAGATCTTGGAGCCGGATGGAGCAAAGGGACATCTCGGTCTCTTGGCGCTCACTTTGGGACCACACAAACGCACAAACACACGCGCACAAGCCACAAACGCACACGCGCACACGCAAGCATACACACACACAAGCACACACGCAAGCGCGCGCGCACACACACACACACTCACACACACACACACACACACACACACACACACACACACACACACACACACACACACACACACACACACACACACACACACACACACACACCACACACCACACACCACACACCACACACCACACACACACACACACACAACACACACACACACACCAAAAACACACACACACACTCACACACACACACACACACAAGCACACACACACACAGAAGGACACACACACACACAAGCAGACACACACACACACATACCCACCCACGCACCCACCCCACCCACCCACGCATGCAGGCATGCACGACCGCACGCGATTCCGGTGAGCTCCACGCCTTTTTCACGGCCTGCTCGAAAATCAATGCGATCTGGGGTTCAAGCACAGATCTACGGGAGGTAGAAGCACATTGCGGCACCGTGAAACCACTCGCTTGAGCTCCAGTCCCTGTGGCCGAATGGAAGAGGCGAATGTGAATTGATCGCCGAACAGGGCCATTGCATTTACTACCCAAGCACTGCATTAAGCAAAAATACATCTTATGGCCTGGATCCTTTTAGAAAGGAAAACAACAGGACCTTTTAGTTTCCCATGTTGGCAAGGCGACTGGGCCAGAATGAAGCAAGCTCCGAATGCCCGCGCGGGCTGTGGCCAAATAAGCGTCCAACGGTCGCGGTTGGTCAATGTGGTGTCAACTGGAAAGCAACGTCTCGGCTCAGTTGGATGATTGGAAAAAAGACACACGTGATGCTGCTAGGTCCTCCAGTAGAGAGGTTCTATTTTAGTAGGGGAACCCTCCCCAAAAAGGGTAAAAGGGCACTACTGGGGGACCTAGCATGTGATGCTGGCACACATGCCTGCAAACTGAGTTCATGTGTTGTCCAGTTGCTCTTCTGTGTGCTCGCCCGAGCAGTCTGAAACCGGACTTGCTTGGGCAGTGCGACAATTGCAAAGTACCAGGCAGGGCAAGGAACAAGATCTGCGGAAAGTCTGCAGATGGTATGTATAGAACAAATAATGCAAGCACAGCCTGGTTGCCTTGGCGTTGCCACAATCAAACTCCAAGGTCAGGCTCAAACAGTAGCCCCACCCAACGTGCCAGCGCTTAGAGTTGAGCCAAATATTCAGCATCTGGCTCTCTTTGCGCCAGTTCCGACTACGTTTTCACACTCGGATTTCAGGTGCCTGCGAGGCTTTGCTGGGAAACAGTCCGTGAAATTAGCACTCTACAGTGTGGCTACCATCCCAAAGAGGCTCCTCCATGTGTCTTTCTAGGTTTCTCTTTCACCCTTTTTGAGATTGTTTGGAGAGCTTAGAGGAACACCAGCCATTCGGGTTCTCCCATTTTGGATACAAACCTGACAGAAAGTGCCGGAACCGCGTCAGAAAATGTACAGTCAAAGATCCATGGCGTACTTTGCCCAAAATTGTGGAATCCAACTGCACCCATGTGCGGTGCGAGATCCTGAGGGTGGGGTGGGGTGGGGTGGGGGGGTTTGGAGTTATATGTTGATCTTCAGGGAGAGACGGTTCCCCGTGTGAAAGGCAAAGCTTCGAGTGACACCTTGGCCGAGAGTCAAATGGCAACCCCACAGACCCCCCTCCCATCTTTGAACACTTAGTGGAGGAATCCCTGAGGGAGACTAGACCGAAACTCAATCCGGCCACCAAAGAACTGAGAGTTGAACTCTCAAAGCACCGCGGTAAGCCCAAACGCAAAGCAAACAGGCCAAGGCTTCTTCTAACTTCATGAGTGAC